CTAGGTCATTATTATATTGCTCTTCTATATCATTCCTGCTTGATGGCATATATAAACTAGCTATCTCCTCATTCATCCTATGTTTGGCAATTTTTTTATCTTTGATAGCATTAAGAATTGCCGCCATCTGTTTTTTTTACATTACTAAGGACACTAGTGCATGCAGAAACATCTCCCTTAACCCCTGCCAAGTGTTGCTTGAACCTATGTACCCCACTACTTATCACTCTTTGACAGTAATTACAAATAATTTTATCTTTTTTGTTGGGATCAAGTCTGACGCCATGTTGTCATGCAGGGTCTTCTGCAGATCTTGACATGATTCAACTGTTTTAAGATGTAAAAAGTTAAAAATTAACTTGACAGTTCAACAAGAAAAAGAATCACCATGTGTAGTGATAATATGTTGGGGTAGTTCATGTAGTCATATTTGTTGTTATTTGTTATTGCAGAATACCTCTATTGGCAATAATATTTTCGTACATATCAATTACAAACATTCAGGATAATATAATACAAAATGCAAGCTCCAAACATGGCTACAACTCAATTATCAAGAACATACATTTTTTACATTAAAAAATTCATAATAAAAACAATTCTTCAAAGAGCCACCTAACATTAGTCATTCCAACTAAAAAATGCATTAACAACAGATTAAAAAAATATAGTTTTGCATTAAAAATATAATAACATGCATTTTTTTGCATAAATAATCTATCAACATACAATTTTTTCAACAAAAACTTTAACAATAAAAAATTTAAATATGGTTTAATACCTCATGATAATTAAAACCTTGTCACGATTTTCACATCTTTTCGGAAAATCATCATTATTCAAAAAATTCGATCATGGAAAAAAAAAAAAAAAAAAAAAAGTAAAAGCAAACTCAAACAATAAAAATTTAAAATTGGGTTTAATACATCATGATAATCAAAACCTTATCACGATTTTCACATCTTTTCGGAAAATCATCATTTTTCAAAAAATTCGATCATGGATAAAAAAAAAATAAAAAAAAAAGTATAGCAAATTTTCAAAAAATTCGATCATGGATTACAAAAAAAATTTCGATCATGGATTAAAAAAAAAAAATCACAAATTTTCAAAAAATTCAATCATGGATTACAAAAAAAATTCAATCATGGATTACAAAAAATTCGATCATGGATTACAAAAAATTCGATCATGGATTACAAAAAAAAAAACAAACATTTTGATCATGGATTACAAAAAATTCGATCATGGATTACAAAAAATTCTATCATGGGTTACAAAAAAAAAAAACAAAAACAAAAAATTCGATCATGGATTAAAAAGAAAAAAAAAAAAATTCGATCATGGATTACAAAAAATTCGATCATGTATTACAAAAAAATTCGATCATGGTTACACAAAGAAAAAAAAAAAAAAGAAGAAGAAAAATTATGTTCTTCACAGAACCATCTTACATAAGCCATTTTAACAAAAAAATCCACCTCTAAGCGAATAAATTACATCCAATTGAGTATATTTTCTGATAAACAACAATATAAGGAATCAAAACCCTAAATTTTGAACGCTTTATCATCAATAAGTCAATTCAAATCGATTAAATTGAGCAAAAAAAAAAAACGCAGTTCTTTTATTCACAGACAACAGTCATTGAATCTAAAAAATGAAGCTCAAATTGAATAAATCATATCAAATTGAATACATCTAATTATAAAAAACACTATAACGATTCAAAACGCTAGAAATCTAACACATTATTTGTAATATATCATGAACAAAAAATCGAAAGGCGGAGAAAAAAAAAACAAAACAGCAGAAATTTTTTTCCACAGACATCACTGTGTTCATCTAAAAATTTATGCTGTAA